CATTGCCATTGTCAAAATGTGAGCTGCACGATTTCAGGATTCAAAGCTGAATTGCTATGAATCGGAAATATTGTCGTGGCTTCGTTCATTTCTAATTACAGAGAGAATCACTCAAACACGATTCATCAATTTTATTCAGAAAGTGATTGATAAAAGAAGATATCTGTGTATTTACGGAAGAAAAAATATAATTCCAGTGAAAGTGGAGAAACAGTTGTTCGACTCGATGGAAGTGAATTGTGATTTAAATAAACCTTGTATATTATGTATGTGCATATGAGATAGTTGTGACACACAATCAAGTGAAGATATTTTGGATATTTTTAACGCGTTACATGATTCAATATATATTCCAGTAGGAAAAAGAAAAGAGGATCATTTTCAGCCTATGCTATTCATTGTTTTCAATGAAGTCTAGAAATTCTAGAGATTTTTCTTTTCTACAAGATTTTTATTACAAAAAAGAATCTCTGTAAAACTTCAAATTTCTAGGAAAGTAATCAAAATTGTTCCTTCTTTATATATAACAAAAAGTTTTCTTTTTGAAATTGTCGAACGAAAATTATGTTATTTCTCGTGATGTTATCTTTCATTCTGAACCACATAACAATCTGTGAAACAATTAGTTTTCAGGGAGAAAGCAAAAAAGGTAAAATATGTGTATTTGTGTAGATTTTTCACATAGATGTCGCCTAGTGAATCTTAATAACTTTGTTTATACTAAACTTCATGATTCATCAGGTTGTCATCAGATAAAAATCAAAACTTTTATTTTATGAGACAAAAATTTATCAGAAAATTGTTATGTGATAAAACATTCAAGCAGCGATATCTTGATAGTCATAGCAATCAGCGGTGAACAATCAGTCAGTTTCTCGTTTATACGCTGCAAAAGCAGTTATGCGAGCCAACGTTTTCTTCTTTGCTTGCAATGAAGATTTTGTGCAGTAATAATTATACCCGTGTGTTGATACATGTGAGGAGGAAACATCATCGATTTCGTCAACACGTAAAATGCAGAAAACATTTGGTGAACTTGTTAAAAATTGATCTTGAAGGAGATTGTAATCTTAAGGAGATATTTCATAAGAATATCGATTATCGTAAGGTAATTTTGTAAATTTTTTGTCATTTTTAATGATTTATGATATTTAATAATAGTTCGAGTGATTACGATCTCATACAAGAGATAAAAGATATTTTTAAAATAACTCAAACATACATCTTAAATTTTATTAAATATTTTAAAAGATAAAATAAGATTCATTGTTATTAAATATTTGGTTCGAATTTAATTCTAATACTATTTTTATACATATATACTTTCTTTGAGGTAACTCAAAAAAACAACTCGAAGAATTTAGTGACATTTAACAATCATCAGATGAATAAATAGATTCATAAATCGATAAATCGATAAATAGATAAAGACAGGTGTTTACTTCAACTTTGGTTTTCATTTTAATTATTCTTTATAATAGAAACAGCGAAAAAAACATTTGTGGCTTCAATATTAACAATTCAATATTTTCTAAATTTTTTAGATCATTATTCGATCAAACTTTTTCTTTCAAATAACAAATAACTAAGATCGGTTTTTAAAGAATTAAAAATTCTTCAGAATTCTTCAATTTTTTCTTCAAACTTATTTAATTCTTATCATATTGATAAGTGTTCCGATAATCGAATATTTTTAGTGAATTTTTTTGAAACCTCAAAAACTTTATTAAAAAAAATGATATATTATTATTGTGAAATTCTTCTGAATGATCGTTGATGAAGTTATCAGATTATATGTTTATTAACGTATGTACGTGCAAAGATATCGAAAAAAAACGAAAAAGGTCACAGGACATTCGTTCGATGGAACCGCGTATTGTAGAGACTATGTCAAACGCATTATGAATAATACATCGTCAGCCGTGACTGAAAATAATATCGCAGGCGCTTGAAAATTCTGTTGCGGTCTCTCGCTTTCGAAATGTTCGCCTGTTTCTCAGAGACTGACCCGAAAAAGGCGATACTTCGCTTTACCTTCAATCGTGGAATTGTACATCGATCATTAATGTTATCTGACCTTTTTATGAGGGAAAGTAAAATTATATCGAAACTTGAATATCTTGATTCCTCTCCCCCCTTTTTTTTTATTTTTCTTTTCTCTCTTTTTTTTTATTTTATTTCGTTATCTTTCGTTTTAATAATAGATTTAATAGATTATATTATAATTATTATACTTTCTATTTATCATTAATAGATAATAAAAGAATAAATGCGATTCCTCTTTGAGTGAAAATTTTTTAATTGTTTATCTAAAAACTGTTAAAAATTATATTAACGAAATTAAAATAAGAATTATATTTCTATTTTTATTAAAACTTATTTTAAACACATCTATTCTTATTACATTTTTTGTTTCGAGAAATTAAAATGCAACTATGCAATCTTTTGTTTTGTTGATTTCCTAGAGAACGATAAATGCGACTGATCGATTATTGCGATTTTATCGTAAGACGATTAAAAAAGCAATTCACAATCACAAATGGAATAATAGAAAATTTTCATTTGAATATACGAACGAAATATCATTTTGCATACATGAAGTGTTCGTCGAAGCTTCCTTTGATGACAGTTCACAATTTCGATTAGTTTCCTCTTCGATAGTTTATCGACTCGAGAAGAATATTAAGGAGTCGCATTACGCTGTTCCTTATCTATCTTCACGTATCGCCATTTCGATTATTCATTTCGCTGAGTTATCGATTAATTTGATTGGAAAATCGATATTTCCACATCGAAACAGTAAATAATACTTTTTTAATTTCTTACTTTTCATTTCTACTTTCGAAACACGTTATTTACATATTGGATCGATTAATATTTCTTTTATTTAATGAATACCGGTTGAAGATCATTTTAACTTCAAAATTTATGGTAATTTATTGATTCATTGCTTAATAGAAAATTAATCAAATAATAACAATTTAAGATTATGCAATTAATTTCTTATAATATATAGAAAGAAGCATAAAAAAAGACCTTTCAGTCTTGATTACTTCGGTAGCAATATTATTGTAATAATTTCTCTCATTATATCGTAAGTATATTTCTAAATATCAAAATTTAGATTTAATATTTGTTTTTTTTTATGTTCAAGGATCTTTATCGATTTTATGAATTCTGACTTTACAATTCGTACGTTTCGCTCCATCAAAATTCTTGAACAGCAATTTTTTAAGTGATTCGAAACAATTTACAACAACAACAACAACTTCCGAGGCAAGATTGAAATATTGAATTGTTACCATTCGAAGCTAATCAAGAAAAGGTAGTTGCGGTCAGGGAGCTAAACAAATACATTACGTCAATCAACGAATCGAATATAGGTTATATTATGCAAGAAAACGATATCGAGAGAACGTAATTGAACACCCTTTGTCTCCTGTCCAGTAAGACGATTCATTTAAAATCAAAGAAACATTTAAAATATTCTCTTTACCATAAATTTAAATAGAAATTATATTTCTTTTTACAATCCTTTCAGTATTATTACACTTCTTCTTCTAACTTTGTGTATCGAAGAACATACGTTTCGACGAATGATTTCTTTTGGATGAAAAATTTGCGATGAAAGGTTAAGTGGTCGAAACTACAATTCTGTATACCCTGTAATGAATCGAGTATTAATATTCCAATATCTATTTAAAAGAAAGAAGAAGAACGATATGAACGGCCCTGGACGATACTACAATCAATTTAGATGTCGCTATTTCATGCGTTAATTTAACCTAGCTATATCGTGGAGGCTACGGTGTAACAGGAAACTGTCAATTTAGGTCAGTTCGGAGGAAAACTGTGCAACGGGGCCTGCCTCCGAACATTTTGTTCGTGATGCCTTCCTTGCTTTCTTTTTCCTTTTCCTTTTTGAAAAAAAAATTCGAATTATTTGGAAAAATCAATTCAAGATGAGAAAAATTCGAAGGAATCGCAGGATGAAATTTATTTACTTCCTTTTTTTTTTATATTATTATTAATCAATTAATAACGTCAAAACACTGTGTGTAATTGTAATTATTTCATTGATTTTCTAATTGATTCGATTTCAGGATATCTCCAGAGTGTGTTCTAAAAGAAAGAAAAAAGTCTCGAAGTTATATCTATCCTTCCCCTTGTTAAGAAGAGCGAGAATATTTATCCTCTGTTTCATTTTAATTACCTTTAATTGGAATCGTGTTATGTAAAAGATGGATCGAATTATCGGTTGGGTCGCGTTTCTTCGAATGACAGAATTGCTGCTCTTAGCAGTGGTGTGTGCTAGGCTCTCGAAGCACGAATAGGGTTCACAGAAATTGATCCTCGATCTGGTGATTTTTCCTTAATTCGCTTTGAAGCTTTTTTGATCAAGCTTCGTCAAGATATTGGATTTTTTTTTAGATAAAAAGAAGAGTTGACAAAAGTTCGCGAACGAAGAAAGAAACGAAAGGCGAGATGGAGAAGGAAGAACTAGTCATTGGCATGGATTGACGATGAATCTATAAAAAGTGATGGGAAAAACGTTGTTTGAAAGAACAAATCTTACTTACGTGGATACTGTGGATTAATAGTCTGGAGGTTGAGTGACTATACGTGTTAGTGGTTAAAGTTTGTCCATTATATTTCTCGAATTAACAATGAAGTGGTAATTCTCGAGATCCATGAGAAAAGGTTAGAAATCGTGCGGAGAAGGATGAAGAAGGCGCTTTGAAGGATCTGGAGAATCTCAGAATTTCAAAATTCAAATTCAAATTGAAAATTACTGATCATCCAAGGAATTTTTTCAATCTAATGATTCGAAATAAAAAATTTTTACATCTAAACCAGAGTATCAAGGAATATATATAATCCATTATAATTTCCTTGCTGATTCTTAGAAATACGTATATACCTAATTATATTCAGCTCGATGGCGAAAAAGAAAAAAAAAAATCTAAATTTTATTCTGGAAGAATCTCGTAAACTCTGAGTAATAATAATAATAATAGGTCAGAGTGGAAACTTATATTCGAGGAGCGTGAGTCGTTCGATCAACATGGATCAAGAGAAGAAAAACAACGTGGAGAATTTAAAAGGCGGCGTCTCGACGACGCCTGCATCGCCTACGTTATCGACGCCGCCAACATTAAACTTGATGGAACAGATTCTTCTGGCGAAAATTGAAAAGCAAAATTTTCATGAAAGTGACGATCTTCATGAATCGGATGGCCGAGTTGGGGGAAAGAGAAAGAACATTTTGTTGAGAAGAACGGATTCGATGGACAGTCAAAATAGTGCGAGTACTTATAATTCGTTTTTATCCAGTGATTCGACATCTAGTGGAAATGTTTATTGCAAATGCGACGACTGTTTGCTGGGAATCGTTGATGACTATCAACGTAATCCATCTGTGGTTGGTAAAAAAAAGGTAAATAATTTTATTTTTTTAAGAAAAATTCTTTCGAGTTCTTCTTAAAGAGGTTAGAATTTGGTATAAAAAAGAAAGAGGAAAATGTAATTAGTTTTCATCGAATTTTTAGCCAAAAAATTTCTGATTGAATTTTGTAATAATAAAATAATTACATGTGTTATATTAGCGATTGTAAAAATAACCGAGATATTTTTCTGTTAACATAATTTCTGCTCGCACGGTCTTCTTACAATTAATTCTTTCCTCGAGGCTTGTCTCCATTCCGCATCTTTTTTTAATTATCGTCTATTCTTTGCTGTGTAAACATGTCGGAGACTCTCAATCATACCTTAACTAGAAGACACTAGTTTTCTAACAATTAATCAAGTTAGAGAGAATTTAATCAACAATGGATCAAAAACGACAAAAAAAAAACTTTAATCGTATTATTTCGCGATTAAATTTATTCGATCATTTATCATTCGTTAATATGTCTTCTTTATGATATATCGAAAAGCCTCGAGGAACTTTTTCGATTCACAATCGAGAAGTTTACTTTCGAAATCGATCGATATCGTTTTCACTTCCATTTCGTATGCCTAGGAATATTCGACGAGTAATTAAATATAGACTCGTCGACAGTCGAATGATCGATTAGAGAATCGATTGACCAATCGATTCGTTCGTCTCGATGAACACACAGATCTAAATTCTTGACCAACTCCCTCCTATGGAGGCCTGTCAGTCAGCTATTTTTTCTTCGAAGTTCATCGAGTTTTTGCAATTCCATCAAAGCATGGTCCCAACGAGGTAGTGCAGCCTCAATTAACGGCCGTTCCCTTTTCGATCTCATATGTTACCTAATCGGCCACCTTCGATCGCCTCTCGATTGCGTTCTAGTTTTCTTCAAAAGAGGAATGCCGACTATAATCTCTTGAATTTTCACGCGTCTGAACCAATTAAATTGGAAAATTTTTTCAAGCTTCAAGTGAACATTGGATCATCTCCAAGCAAAAAAGATCGTCAAGTACGAATAATTTTACGAGTAATTTTTAAATAATTTCGAGTGTAGTTTCGATATGTATCGAACTGTAATTGAAAAATTTAGGAAAACGATATTGCTTCATTCAAAGTACGATAAAAATTCACAGTGTATTATTTTTCAAGATATACTTCACCTTTCGAATGCAAAATTTGAGAGTTGAATAGTATTCGTGACGTAAATCAGCGGCTACTGACGCAAAAGTACTTTTAAGGTGTGGATAGGTATGCTATGTTACAAT